TTTTAGCTCCAACAAATTGCTGCTCACCATTGCCACACCCCATCCTAGTTCCATCACTTCCTGTGGTTTCCCAATTTTACAAGCTCTCCATCTAGACCTCATCTATGGCTTCTTCTCTCACTGCTCTCCCCTTTCTTTCTCCTCTAGCCTCTATCCTGTATTTCTCATGCTGCTATTTTAGTGAGAGAATTATTTTTTCTAAAATTTTTATATTTGCCTAATTCACTTCAGAAATTCTTCACAGTATGTAGTTTCAAAAAGCTCTTCAATATGGTTTCAAATGTCCATAGTCACCTGTTCCCCATTAGCCTCTTGGGTGAAGATCTTCTGGACCACTCCCAGCTTTTCTATACTATCTCAGTGTTGGCTCAGTGAACAAAGCACACACCATCACACCTCACTTGTATTTTCCTCCATACTTGACAAAACTCCTAGCCCTCCCTTCATCTGATGTGATGGGTAATACTGACTGTCAGAATCTAGAACCACCTAGAAGGCAAGCCTCTAGGCATATCTGTTAAGGATTATCTTGATTAGGCCTGCCTTTGGCTATGTCTCTGAGGGATTATTTTGATTAGGATAGTTGAAGGAGAAAGACCCACTCTAAAAGTGAGGAGCACTCTTCCCTGGGTTTGGGTCCTGTACTGTCAGGAAAGGTGGAAGCTGGCCAAACATAGACATTCTTCTCCCTCTGCTTCCAGAATGCAGATAAAATATGACCAATCACCACAAACTCCTGCCACCAGGACTTCCTCACCATGATGGACAGTATCCTGTCACACTGTAAGCTGAAATAAACGCTTCTTTTCTTGGGTTTTTAAATTTTTATATGTGTATGAGTGTATTGCCTGAGTATATATATAAATGCACCCATGTCGTTCAATGCCTGTGGAGGTCAGAAGAGGCACTGGCAATGGAGTTATGGGGTAGTTATTAGCTTCCATGTCGGTGCTGTGAAGTGAGCCCAGTCCTCTGCAAGAGCAGTCAGTACTCTTAACTGCTGAGCCCTCTCTCCAGCTCCTCCTGTTTTTAACAAGGTATTTTGTCACAGCAATGTGTAAAGTAAAACACATGGTAACACCAATTCCCCAAGAACTTTTTCTACCTGTTTTGGGGACTCTCCTCTGTCCAATACCCCAATCTCCTATGAAAGCACATTCTAACTGGCTTAGAAACTGCCTGGTATGGTTTCTATATCCCCCATCCCACTGCAGCCCTCCTATCTAACCTAGACAGTAAATACCTCAATGCTAGAACCCACCAGCAGCAATCTGTTCCCTGGGTACTTGTAGTTGCTCAGGGAATGCATGGAGTCTGAAAAGCTATACAGATGAAACCCTGGGAGTCATGTGGACTTGACAGATCAGTGGAGGAAGAGAAATCCCACAGAGACTAAGCAGCAATCCAATAAAGAACCAGAATCCACAGTACAGGCAGTAGAGCAAAAAGCGGTGCCAAATATGGGGGGGAGGTAGGGTTAGGGTAGGAGTGCTGTGGTGGGGGAGTGGCAAGAATGGGGGGCAGTGATCTGCAATTGGCAGAACAGCTTCTGGAAAATGACAGGTCCAAGTGTTAATGCCCAGCATTGCCAAAGGGAAGGCAGGGGAGAGGGAGAGAGAGCAGAGGCAAGACAGCAGGTGAATACAGTTATCATGGAAGTTCAATATATGGAGGTGGAATAAAGTCAAAAGCAAAGGGAATATTTGTGTGTGCTTGTGTGTGTGAGTGTACGAGAGGGAGGGAGGGAGGGAGAGAGAGAGAGAGAGAGAGAGAGAGAGAGAGAGAGAGAGAATGCTACATTTCCTTTTTAAAAAATCTCAACCATAAATCTCACCAGCAAAGGAAGTGAATGGCAAGTCTATACTCCAGTACAGAATAAGCACTTGTATCAAATGAAATATATAAATAATAAACGGGAAGCTTCATACACACAAGAGCTTTATCTTGTCAAAAAAGGAGTTGATTTTATCAAAATACACATCCTGTTAATGTTTTGAAAGTGACCTGGCAGCTCATAGATCAAACAGCCACCTGACTGCGATCGGTCTGTGCTGTCCAGCATTGAGCACCATCACTGTGGTGTCTACCTTCACAATCACCAAAGCTCCACTTGCAGAAAGCCTCACACTTTACATATGACCTGACAGTGACATCAAGGGACAAACAGCATTGGCTTTCCATCTAGTATTAATGCCCCAAAGTTATATGAGACCTAAAAAACACCATGGAAGAGACTCTTGTGAGAAAACATAGAGATACATGAGCTCTACAAGTCTCAGGCATCAAAGCGCAGGTGAGGGAAAGGGGTGTTTCTTTACACACAGGCTTCTCGTCAAGCCTCACTTCCAAAGTTCCTTGGGGTTGCCATGGTGTTCATTTCACTTATAACAGTTTAGAGAATGCACTGAGAGATAAAGTTAAAACATTAAATTACTTTTCATAAGACATATGCTTCTTATGCAATTAACAATACATTTGGCATCAATAAGCTCTAATTTTAGAGACGTTTATCTGCAGCCATCAATCAGGTGATGGCAAATTCAATTTCTATTTGGCTTCTACTTTTCATACTCAATTCTCCAAGGCTAGATACTGCATGATATCCCCAAAATACTAATTTGTCTATGATGACAGCAGATTACATCCATAGAAAATGCCTGCACAGTAAATATATGTATATGTAAGTCAAATCAGAGTTTTATAGAAAACAATTTTCTTTTTTTAATTTTTTTATTGATTTTGTGTGTGTGTATGTGTTTATTTCATACAGAACATCCCAAACAATCTTATTCATCTTTATACCTGCATCCCAAATGGCACCCTCCCATAGCCGCTCCCCCCCGCAACTGGAGCCCATATACTCTGTTATCCCTGTTACTGTCCACTGTGCTGTCAGTGCCCTCAGCTGGTTCCTTAGTGCTGAGTCTAGTCAGCCTATCTAGAGATCCTTATTTTAGGAAGATCAGCTCTTCCTCATCTAGCAGCAATCAGTTGCCAACATTCCTTTAGATAAGATTGGGGTCTGCTGTTCATTTTCCCAGTTCTATGCTGGGTTATTGTCTAGGAGTCTCTTAGGTCACCTTGGCCAACAACTCAAAGGACGGTATCTCCTGTCTGGCATTGTTTCTTGTTATGTAGCCTTTAGCTACACACATGGACTCTTAACGAAATATACTGATCACTTAATCTTTGGTTATACTTTCCTTTTGGGTGCTTAAGACCATACAGTTGGCCCAAATTAGCCAATTTATTTTTACTCTTAAGGTCATTTGAGGATCTGTTCCTCAGGGGTCACATGGGTTTGGGAGAAGCCCCTGGATCCTTTCACCAGTTCCATCTATGTGAAGATAAGTTAAAGGTCCTGCTTGACTATGGCTGGCTTCACTTGGAAACATGGAGGAAATGTTTCCTCTGTGTTGACCCTCCTCTTTGTAGACTGGACACTGGCTCAAGTCCATCTAGTGGGGTCTCCAAGGCATCTCTGAACAAGAGGGCAGGTGACTCACCATAGTTATAGGACATTTTGAGAGATGCTCCATAGTCCCATGGAACTTATTCGACCTTGGAGGTCAAGGAGCAAAAAAAACTGTCCTTTAAGTCCCTCTAACCAGATTAGTATAGGCCTCAATGTATGGTTGTTAAACATCCAAGAATGTTAGTTCCACTAGTCTAATACTTTTAATTACCCTATCTTAGGGAAAGCTGAATTTCTGACCAAGCACTAGATCACAAATGACCATAAATTCCTTCACATGATCAAATTACAGTGAATAAATAACAATAGGTCAAAGCTTCTTAAACTGCATACTTAAAAAATTGCACACATTGAAAATATAGGTCCACAGAGAATGTGGGGTCCTGGTGTGGCTTCTTCAAGGGAGCCACTGTGGGTATGATTTTTCACTGTATCTTGCCCAATATATCACAGGTTTTGACCAGCAGCTTCCCACCAGGCATGGGGACAATCAAAGAAAAATGCCTGGCCATTTCCAAATACCCTCTAAGGAAGTACTAGTTTGGCTGAGAGCCTCAAGTGTCCCTTGTTTATCACAACGGGGACTGCCTTTGTTTAAATAATTAGCTAGTAACAGGTCTCAAACTTGTGTCGTTAGGAGGCCAATGCTACTGATAATCCAGCAGGGAATACCCCCGTACATATAGGACATACTGTGTGATTTTAGCTTATCAATTCTTCCTACCTGGTGTGAACTGTCCATCACATACTTTCTAGCCTTAGAGCTAGCATCATTATAAGTGTTCACAAGTCTCCTTGCCCCTCTAATTCCTGCCACTCTTTGACTTCAGTCTTGCATCTATTCCATCCTAGCTATGTCTGGGTTCTTCTCCTTGAAGACATGAAAGTGATGTCATCGTGAATCCAGGGCTCCAGATGTGCACCCAGTGGACAAGTGCTTTTATGTCACGGTCACCCAAGACTCCATCACTCACACTCTCCTCGCTACAGGGCACCACACAGGCAGCAGGTGGCATCTTCTAGTTTATAAAAAAGCAGAGCATCCTCTGTCTCCCACCACCATCTAACTTTGTGTCTAGAGTGTGCCCTATCTGGTATGAAATGGGAAAATGTGCTTCACCAAACCTCTCCCATTTTTCTCTTTATTTTTGCTTATTTTACTATATCTCCCACATTAGACAAAAATGCAACAATGTGTTAGTGATAATCCTGACCTCTTTCCAACTATAGGAATAAGTCTAAAGCGGTCTCTACTAAATTGCATGTTTATAGGATTTGGGAGTCCTTCATTATTTAAGAGGTTATACTTTAATATTGAACTGTATGAAATATTTTCTAGTATCAATTGTAGTTTTAAACATGATCAGTTTCATTTAATTTTAATTTTTTAGTCTAGTACTGATAAAAGGAAAAACCACCTCTGGGGTGTCGGCTGTCTCATGTCACAATAATTTCTCTCTTTATAGGTTCTAAATTAAAATTCAATATAAAAATGTCAGTATCTGAGAAGGGTCAGCATGCTTACCCGTATATACGCGTCCTGGTGGTGCTTAGCAAAGTATAGCATATTGTCCAGAGCCAGCATTCCAGGTGGGGTCTGAGTAAAGTCCATAGCAGGGTTGACATGATTCTGGGTTGAAAACAAAATGTTTTGTAAGGTTAATTCTTGTGTCATCAACCACAAGAAAGCTGAGATCTCCTCTCCAGATGAAAACACCACAAGGTGGGCTCCAAATAAAGAACATGATTATGTTTCCCGTCCCCTGTAAATTTACACTGGAAAGGAGTTCTCCAGATTTTCAGGTTTAGCGAAATCAGCTTTTATAGCTAGGGTTAGGAGACCCAGTTGAAGGTCAAAATATTGGATTATTCTTAGGCACATAACATAGTACGAAAAGTGACATTTATAGTGGGTATCCTGAAGTGAACTCGGTGGCATTTGGGAGAGGAACTGTGGGACGAGGCCACAGTACTGCTGTTTGTGACAGAAGCTGACTCCAGGAAGCCATTACACAACCACATCTTAACTTCTTCACCTTCATATGTAAGGCTAGGCATGGCCATTCCTGTCAGGAGGCTTGTTAGATGTCCAGGATTACACAGGTCCCTGAATACAGGCACTGGGAACAGTACAAATGTTCCGAGGGTTCTGAGATCTGCTTGTCCTCAAGAAAGCCATGTGGAATGACAGTCATCACACCCATTGCATGGAGATGACATAACACAAATATGCTGACCAGTGGTAGAAGCCTGGCCAACTCGATCCTTCGATGTGCTTGAAATCATCCACTGAACACCATCAGGATACTTCATCAGAGAGCAAACCACTCTCCACCATCAGTTACCAACCTTGTTCTAACTTTGAAAATATAAATGCTGAATGATTTAAAGAAAGCCATGATTTTTTCATTTTTTACACTAAAAAAAATCAAGATTGTCACAGACAATTTCTTCTTGCTGTATAGAAATGTGACTGACTTTTGAATGCAGATTTTAGAATCTTCAACTTTGCTGAATTCATTCAGTATTAACAGGGGTGCGTGTGTGTGTGCGTGTGCGTGTGTGTGTGTGTGTGTGTGTGTGTGTTTTGTTTTTGGTGGAGTCATAAGGGTTTTCTACCATAAAATTCTGTCATCTTCAAACAGGGATGATTTGACGTCCTCTTTTCCAATTTAAATTGACTTTGATTTCTTTCTCTTACTTAATTGCTCTGGCTGGTACTTCTAATGCAATGTTGAATAGAAATTATGAAAATCAGTATTTTGCTCCACCATAAAAATGATAGCTAAATGGGATAATTCATTTGTTGAGTAGTAGAGTTAACCACTCCACAGTGCATAAACACTTCAGAACACCATGTTGGATATGATGATAAAACTTGCATGATGTATCTGTCAATGCGGAAAATTTAAATTAAGAAAAATTAAAGTCAAACTCTGAATAATCAAATATGATGGTATTTTCTGTTGCCATGTAAATCTAGACCACCTTCTGTTTCAGATACTTTGCATGAAATAACATAATTTCATTTTAGCCCTGAACAGTTAAACAGTTTAGAGCTCTGCTTTGGTATAAAAATTTTGGTTAATTACACTTTTTTCTGACTCTAGTATGTGAAGGTCTTTTTATTCAGTGGTTCAAGGTTCAAACCACACACACTTTTCTATATTATTCAAAAGTTAAATCTAAACTGTCCTTCTCAAGCTGATTTGAAATACTGTTTATGAGAACATCTAACATGAATGAGTGATGCTGTCTGCAGGCCAGAGCAGCTCTTCCAAAGCACCTGGTTCATCACGCCTATCCAAAATGCTGCAGAACTGCAATATGCTATTTTGACATTCTTTCCTGATTCATCTGTTAAAATGTTGCAAAGGTCTTTAAAAATACAAAGGATCAACTATTGGTAAGAAAGACGTATCTCATAAAAATTGATATAATGGGAAGCTTTCGCATGGCAAACCCAGAAAGTTCAGTCTTTATTGGGTATTCATCAGAGTGAAGAGGATCCAACTCATATTCAACAGTGGGAAACAAAAAAAAAAAAAACCCAACGTCCTGGAAGTAACAAATCAGAGTTGAATTTTAGTCATTTAGCAAAAATAGAACTTCCACCGTGCAGATAAATTGATGACTTTGATAGAACCGGTTATCATGAACATGAGTAACACCAAATAAATTGTTATTTACTTGGTATTTCTGGGTTCTAGCACAATTTTGGATTCAGTGTGCATTAAATTTGACAACATCCCCATTGAGTGGATTCCACTGTTATCTTCATGTCACTGATGTAAAACTGTGGCTAGGTTTCACAAGCCTGCCAGGACCTTGATGCTCGGCTTTGGCTGAGCAAGCAATGTCTTTGTTGGATGCTATTCTTTCTCTGGAACAATCTTTTGTTCCTACTTTTTCCTTTCCCCAGTTTAGAAGCTGAATGCACTTATTTTGGCTAGCATTTAGACTTTACATAGACTAGGAGAAGCCCATTTGATGGAAGTGTCAACTAATCAATATTAGCTACCATGCATGGGCTAGACAAGAGCAAAGTGATATAGAAAAGCATGTCATTCATTTCAGACCTGTTTCTAGCCTCTACCCGTTGATGTATTCCAACAATAAATGCACAGAAAATAAAATCAAGCTAGATCTGACGGTACAGGGTTATAATCCCAGTTACTCAGATGGCTGAGGCAGGAGGTCAAATTTAGTGAGGAAAACTACAAAGACGGCTGGAGGCATTAACTCAGTGGTAGAATGCTTACCTGGCATGCATGGGGCACTGGGTTCAATCCTTAGTACAAAAAAGGCAATCAACTGAAAAATGTAACTTCTCTGAATTCTGAATCTAATTCTAACACACCTTTACAAGTATTGTTAGAAAAGCTGGTCAGGGAAAAGCTCTCCATGGCTCAGAACCTAGAGTCCCTTGAAGCCTCTTTCTATCAGTCACGTTCCTTTTCAGCTATATAATGTACACACAAAATAGCATACTGGCATTTTCAAAGGGTCCTTACAGTAAAAAAAAAAACAACAACATATAGTTACTCCTCCCTGTCCAAGGACTGGTTTCAGGATCCTCCCTGGGTAACAATATCACAGGATGCTCAAGTTCCTCATATTTAAAAAAAGCACAGTTTTATACAATATATATAAATCTTCTATTCATGTTAAGTTATCTCTAGATTACTTATATTACCTAAAATAAAGTCAATGCTGAGAGATAGCTTCTATGATGTATCGTTTAGGGAGAAATGACAAGCAAAAAGTTCTGTTTTATGTTCAGGACAGAGGAAAGTTTTTCAAGTATTTTTTAATATATGGTTGGTTGAATCTGTGGGTGAGGAGCCCATGGATGTGGGGATCTGACTGTAATTGGTACAGTTCTTTTAAAGTATCATGTAGTTAATTAATCAATACTCCTAATGAAATCATTTACTATGTTGCAGACATTGTCTTTCACATAATAGCTCTTAATCTTCATCAAACCTTGTCAAGTCCATGCTGCCATTTTCTTCTTCTGACAGGAAGGAAACAGAAGCACTGACAGTTGTGTAGCTTGTCTTGTTTCAGAGCCAGTATGTGCCAGAGGCAGAAGGTGGACCCAGGGCCCAGGCTTGAAGCAGCATTTGGTGTCGTCAGGCTGCTGCCTGATGTGATGTAGCTACAAATTTCATTCCGAGCAGCTCCCCAGTCCTTAGCTCTCCTCAGTCACAATTATTCCCTCCGGTAGAATGGACTTGGGATGCATTCTCCTTAGCAAAAGGTATAATTTTTCCATCCCTTCCAGACACTGTAACGGACCAGGCTCGCTCATGTCCTGTTGGCCCCCAACAAAGCTCTTGCCACAGAGAAGCCAATGAGAAAATTGCTTTTGATTTTTCAGTGATTTGCTCTAAGTTACAAAACCACTACACTTTAGATAGAAAATATACCGTTTGGGGAAAATATAGTGTATGTATGTTAAGTATATTCATGTCGCGCAAAGCCCGCAGAGGCTAGAAGAGGGAGTTGGAGCCCCTGGAACTGGAGTTGAGGACGTGTGGGTGCTGGGAATTGAACCTGGGTCCTCTGGAAGAGCTGCCAGTGCTCTTAACCACTGAGCCATCTCTCCAGCTCCCGCAACAATGGATTTTTGATACAAGGAGAAGAATTACAGACCTAAATATTCCAAAGTATCCTGTTTTGTGACAGAAACATTCAGGGAGCTGAGCACAGCCCAGCGCTGCACGGCTCCTTCCTTGTTTATGGATGTCCTAGATACAGGTTTGTTCCCTTTTCTTGTTCCATGGTATTTTTTTTCCCACCTGTCTTAAAATGGAAGATCCAAGAGCTTTGAGGAATTTTCCCTTGTTTTACTGCGAAGCCTGTATACTCTGTACATCCTTCTAAAGTGTCATTTGTCAGCTTCTGTGAATCATAGCAGACAGCTCTTGGTGCTCAGAGGACAGGGGATGGATGGTTCCTTTTCTAAAGCACCAGTTTCTTCACTCGGGGAACATGGTACCAACCAGGTGGAGAGAGCACAAATTATTTTAGCTTGACTATCCTATGTGCGGTTCAATATCTAAGTCCTGGAGATTAGTGTCTCTTCTGTTACCCATGTCCAATTTTTCAGCTGAATAATCTCAACCAAACATAACCAAAGGAGGGTTATAAGCTCTAGGACAGAAAAATATCTAAATCTATTCTGGGCCCATACACCTTAGCTACTGAGAGAGACAGTTGAGCTATATATACAACCTAAGCCAGGCCCTCGTTACACTGAACAGCCCGTTGTGGAGAACTGCAGTACTCAAACTCTAGAAGAACTCTGTATCTCACCAGGGGCTTGCTGAAGCAACAGCTCCTGGAGTCACTTCCAGAGCCCGATTTGTCAACCCTGGGTAAGGTCAAGAATTTTCATCTCTAACAGTTTCCCAGGTGATATGGATGCTGGTGGTGGGAAATCACATTCTGAGACCTACTGGGAAGATACAGTACGCGCCTGTAATATCAGAAGACTGAGAGCCTGGCTCCACCAATATCCTGAATCCCACACAGCATACATTACATCAGTTTTAACTCACTTATTCAACATTAAATACACCTGCTGTTCCTCTACTTCATGTTTGAGCTGCTCATCAATGAAAC